AGGTTATGTTAGCCTTAGGCCTTTTGTCACTTTTATCAAAATATTTTTATTCTCTGAAATGCTGATCTGGTTAAACATTCCAAATGGCCTAATATTTTGTTAATGAAATTACAACAAGTTTTGTTAGTACTTATATAAACACTCTACGCCTTAATTCGAAAACTGGTTACGTGTGCAAAATAATATACATGTATTGACATCTGGACTGGATTACTAATTGGTCGAAATCGACATCAAATTATAGCTGTATTAGTCCTATAAAAGAGTGATTACAACATAAATAATAACCGCTCCCTGCATTAATACACAGCGCAACACAATAAACAGTCACTATTACCAGACGGGAGCGATTATTAACCCAGATTAGGAGAGTATTACCTACCGGTATTACATGATAGTGTCAGAATTAAAGAATGAAACAAGTTAAACAGGTAGTAACCGGATTGTCTAGATTGTTGACAATACGATAACTTGTAGATCATACAATAAGCAGTCAAGGCTGATTAGTGGTATACAGCTGGGTATCAGGGTATACTGGATAAAACGTTATTATGCCAAAGATCGACACGAAAGGTTGTTTTGTTCAATACTTTGTGAATTTTGTTTTCTAAAAGCACAACAACCTTCGTTAAGTTGCATGTAAGTAACTCAACGATGTCTATACTTCAAAACAGATATGACTGAATAGATATTGTGTTTGGGCTGGTTATAACGTTACTTCCAAAGATAAAACTACAAATCTGCCGCAATGTGTCAGTGTACATATCATCTAATAATTGTTTCGGCATATTGATCTAGGCTTTAATGTGCTAGGTAAACTTGGCTCATTGTCATCTTGAACTTTCGTACCTTAACCCAAGACTTTATGATATGACGGGTAACACTTTCATCGGTTTTTGTCAATCTATACAGCTACATACCGACTTTCCTTGGGGTAAACATTATAACAATCTGGTGCTAGGAATCGATACATATAATAAAATCAATTTACTTCGTTGATCATATCGAAAAGAATGTTTAAGTTAAACAGTATAATACAATACCAGTCGAACATTATGGCTTTATAAGCTCCGATATAGACATATGTTAAACAACAGCAAACTAATCGTTGATACACACAGGTGGAATATTTCGAGTTGTCACTAAACGCGTGAAACTTTGACGTACGTAGATCTGATGACAAATGTTTTACAAAGTCAGCAAGTTTTTCTGACAGACCTCTTTGGAAAAGGTCAAACGTTAACACAGGTGAAGGTCGCGCCATTTACATTTCAATGTACAAGTTAAACATGGGAATGTTTAATAATAGTGGAAGATGCAGCCTTGAAGTTTTTGCGTAAACAGTGTTGGAATTGAATCATCAAAGGCTAGGGAGATGTTTCCCCCAATGTTTAACACTCGTTTTCCCTAATGTCTATGTGTCGGACGTCAATAATTTGTATGTGTCGCCGACCTCTATATCACAAAAGGTCTAAATTACCTCTCGTCCATTACAGGTTCTCCGAGTTTACATATGAACCTGCTTTATTCAAGAAACATTCACTGGTCTTGTACCAATGGATATTTTACAAAAAGATTAGTCAGCTAAAGCTCGATGTAGATGAAATTATCCTTTGTTGACTAAAAAGTTGTTAACGATATTGTAGACGATGCCGTGGTTTAGAAGTTAAAAGCGCCGCTTTTTTGTTTTCTTCAGAACAATACGGTATTGGTGCACACATAATTGAAACTTTAAATAACGAAATAAAAATTCAAGTTGACTATTTCTTACAGTTCCATCAGTATACGACATAACACTACAAACGATCCGAGAAAACTAGTTTACAAACTTGGCGTGAAATTACGTCCACGGGGCGTGTGATTAAATATTGTTATAATGTTTCCCGTGAACAATCGACAAATTTCAGTACCCAGATAAGATATTAGCTTCATCCCTATAACAGTACAATAATACAGTGATGAGTTAGTGGAGTAGTTCACCGCCGGATGAGTTCAACTGACCTATTTTCTGTTCAACTGTAAATGAACTTCATTCTCTATTTTTTGGTTCATTTTTCTAATTTATTCTTTTAAAACTTCAGCATCATTCAGGTTCTAAAAATGCATCTTTCAGACAAAATTCTGTCACATTTCACTACGAAAAATTGTAGTCGAAGTAGACGGAAATTGATATTTCAATGTATTTTCCTATATAAAAGACGTGTTCTTTTATAGTGCGTGATATTTGAAATTCAGAACAACGTTCTTGTGGTTGTTAAACATCCTCCCCGGTATAAACCAATTAGGAAGCAAAAATCTCGTTTATCTGTCAATCAAATAACACAATCTGTCTGTAGTCTAAATTTCCCTTTATACTGTAATATATGATATTTGACATATGAAGTCTTGTTTGTTTCTTTTATTTCTTAATGTCACTGGAGATTTCGTCACGTTTTAAATACAAATTTACGCTGTACTAGCGAAAGTGAAAGTTGAAATGTCCTCAGTCAACAGGTCGACAGTAAATCTATCTTCTTCAGATGTTTAAAGTGGGTAAATGCAGTGTTAAATGACACAAGGTATGTCTAGCATTAACTGGATGTCCACAGCCCAGACAATACTACATAATTGTGTGTGATTGACAAAAATTCCGGCTTATCATCTGTACATATCAACTTGTTTCATTTTCTTTGGATGAACAACGAGCTAAAATGCCTTAAATGCAGAAGTAAAAGGACTTACCACACACATGATATGAATTATTTTCTAATCGTGTTGTGAAATCAGATTATTCGAGATTAATAACTCATGTCAACCATTTGAGCAGTTGAATGTACGTGAATAGATAATGCCAGTATATCGTGCTATCGTCTGCACGTGTCATTATTTAAAGTTATACAATATTTTTATTTTATTTATCAAATTTACCAATCAACAGAACAATCAGTGAAATTTTGATATTTTGAAATTCTCTCATGATCTGATAACAGATAATAAAATCTTGTTATTTTCCTTTTTATCTAATCTATATATCGACTGCGACACAATATACAAGAATGTTTGCCGAGGACGCGAGATCGGATCTCTTCACCAGCTAGTTTCTAGACATGTGTTCACAATCTGTGCTTGTTCACAATCTGTACTTATGTATGCTTTGCATGATAATATTGGATAGATCATTTTTCGTACACAATTCATGACCAAGCAAAACAGTAAAGACGTATACGATAATTGTAAGGGAAAAGTTTACAGAAAAGACAACAGCTTCACAAATACAAAGTCCAAGAATAAACATCCGTCCTTGTTCCGTCGCATTGTACAAAAGACACACAAGTAAATTTAATACAAATTTAGAGAAGATATATTAAAGAAAAACAATAAATTGAACCGCATCATACAAATGTGTCGTCTTTCTTGGACTCACCAGTGATGCTAGGGGTCTAAATGTTGAAGCAGAAGGCGACCGAGGAAATACAAAGCGATCTAAAGGAATGTAAGAATCTAGATGGGCAAGTGCACTAGTCTGATAGTTTTAAAAGAACGTCAAGAGTATGTGTATGAATTACATCGTTGCATGCGGGTTACGGTAAGTCTCGGGTATTAGAACTCTCTCAGACTTGGGAGCTAGAGAAAGACTGAGGTTTATAACTTTGCCCAAACATGAAGTCAGCTAGCATATACAACGTAGGGCAAATGAAAAAACTTATAGAACTTTGATATGTAAGTGTGGCAAATTAATAAAGGTAATTGAAGGCTTGAAATAAACACACTCCATTAACGAGTACTCGCTGTGTTCAGAACCAAGGCGACCCTAATCGGTTACAACCTTTTTGGACATTATATGACCTGAATTAAGTATTTAAAGCATCCTTAACGTTATAAATAAAACGTTTTACAATGTTGGTTTACCGTCGCATGCTGTATTTAAACTTTATAATACAGCAGTTAAGCGCGAAATGTCAGAGCAATAACGGACCACAGATTTATAGCTTTTGGTGTTTGTATTGTTATTTACAACAAATAAATTCAATATTTGTGTCACCATCCGTGAGATATACACATACACTGGTGTTTATCAAACGTCTAGCTTTCTCCTGTAATTTCTCTATTATTAACGGTCCCAATGTCACATTGTGTTCGATATGGAATTCAAGTGGAAATTCTGGCTCCATAGAAATTGTGTCATGGTGTCACAAATGTCAGATCGGCGTTGAACAACAATTACAAAATCACGACAAATCTAGGTTGTTTTAGGAGTTATTCAAAAGACTCGCGAGATTCAGTTTTACAGTTAATTCAGAGCGGTCATTGCCTGTTCTTTGTACAATGTCTTTGTTAATTATGGTAAAATGCATTTCGAAATCAACATTTCATATCTAAAATCAAGAAATGAAAAAGCTCAAGCTAACACTAAGTAATAAATATGTTTGACTCTGCTGTATCTTATCTAAATTTGTATTAAGCAGTGTTTTCAACATGCGTGTCTTTTGTACAATCTTGGAGTTTGCAAGTGGTAGACACTGCTGGTGGACTTTTAGTCTCCGAAATTTGCCATAACCTGCATGCCACATTTTAATTAACTTGGCACGGCTCAGAATATATATATGTAGTTGGCATTTCTCTAAACTTATCTTGCATATGAAAATTAGGAAAGTTAGTCTAGTACACCTCCCATTAAGATTTTGAACAATCTTTAAGCAAAGGAACCATAATACAAAACCTTCATATGATACGACAAACAAAATCGACAAAGAGGCTATCAACATGGTTTAATTCAGACTCAAACTCGACGACACAAACTCAGAATATTAATGTGATTTTCCATTAATGGATTTAAAAATGAACTAAGATGGAACTAAGTTCAATAAACAGAGTATCAGCAGTGTATGTATTATTAAGTTCAGTTATCAAAATGACTACATCAACCAGTATTTCTGTAATTAATGTTTATCATCATGTTTTACCAAAATATCAATTAACTAGAACCGAATTGCTGTAATAAGGAAAAATAAAAGACTTACCTGATTTGCCAACTCCATTCTGTCCCAGGATAACAACTCGAAATGGACGTTGCTTTGAAGACATCGATATCTTGCGGAGGAGATTGGGGGATGACATGTTTCTCATATTCTCTTTGAGTTTTTCCCTGTGTATTGAAGTAATATCTGTCATGGTAATAACTGCGACACAATTAAACTAACATACTCCACACCTCATACAGTTACTGACAACGCTGATGTTCTAAAACCTCGATAACATATTTTTCTGTTTTGTATACAATGTTCAATGTGGTATGTTTTTCACAACATTAACCATCCCAAATACATCTGATCATGGACACATCGTATCACACAAATATGTTCCGGTGGCACTGGATGCCAAGAATACTGAAGTTCCCACAGTTCTATGAGTTCCCAGACGAGTGTGACTTAGATAGCAACTGACACTCAACCGAAGGTCTCTCTACTATACCCTCTCTCTGTGTGCTCAGTGTATCTATCTACTTCCACTGACGTACGGTATAGTGATACAGGGATTACGCTTGTCTTCGTCAGCAAATGTAATTGACAGGGTCAGTGCTTGACCATTAATTCCACCATCTATCAGTCATTCAGCGGAAATAATCACTCTCCCGGCAATTTTTAATTCATGTTACACAAATAACTTTCCGTGTGTTTTTTTTCTATCTCAAATCTCCACGCAAACAAAATAACAATACACTATTAAAGAAATCCCGAACGTAGTTATTTGTAATCATTGAACAGTCGTCATCGCTCTTAAAACATGAGAACATGTATTCATTAAAACGAATTGTGATTTAGAAAAGCGACACTCCACTTCAGTATCCCGTACTACTACACTACGTGTATTACTATTTCAGCGCCGGTGTCGGAGCATACGTATTTATCACAGTAAGTAGCACTAATGCAGTTTGATAGGGACTGCTGTGTTCCCGTGTGGTTTACCACAGAACAGTGACAGCACGACCAAACAGGTGCAGGCTTCGGAAGGGTGGTTACATTGTCAGCGACTTAATTCATAAATACTAGGCGTCATAAAATCAGGTCGTTTAGCACTATCGCGTAAGGTCAACCCTGTCTAAAACCGATTATTATATTTTATAAACTATATTGTACATTGAATTTGGATGTAACTTGTCACGAGAGAGTGGAATACTGTGATGTGTCAATAACGGGACTATAATTAAAAAGAAAAAACTTAGGTGAAACCTGTCAAAGGAAGATTTACATACTTACTGATATTCCATGAGCATTGTAACAACTTCCGAATGTCAAACCAATTACTATATTATAACGCAAAACCACTGTATCTACATGAAGCATTTACATTAGCCAACCACTGTAACAAACCGGAAATTGCTACAGAAGTATATCTTAACCGGAAGTAACGGTATATATCGTCAATAAAAAAACCACAAAGAAGTTAAGAAATTCTGATTTACAAAGGTAATATGAAAAGCTAGACACGAAAACGCCTGCCTTTTTATCATTTAATTATGAGCTTGTGCTACTTTACCTCCTTTCTCATATTAACAGAATTAGCAGCACCACATGTGGTACTTGTGGTATACATATGTTCGTTAACGTTGAGAAAAAATGAGACAGACTTCACGCAGAGGCAAATCAAAGTGTTGATGATAGTGACACAGAATTAAACTATTTGGAAGGGGCAAGAGAGTGCAATGATATTATCAGTACACTATTTTGAACGTGAAAAAAAATTCAGTTTCCTTAAGTCGTAACTGTATTAATCTACATCGATACCGGCCTTGGATCCTCTTGGGAGGATACATTAATTTTTTTTTTTTTTTTTTTCAAATCATAATAAGAAGGCATGAAGATATTCATGTAAACTCAGTAACAGATACATTTACGTACCTCAAAGACATGAAATGTCTAAAAATGCATGTCTATAATTGTATATGTACATAAGTTGAATATAGATCTAGATTATTTATACTGGAATATATCAATTAGTTCACTGTATACATGTTCAGCAAATGGTATATCTCAACCAGAGACTCCCAAAAAGTATTTCAGCATTTAACTTCAACAGGCAAAGAGGATATGTAGCATGGACTTAGATTTAGGCTGTTAAGTGTATCGTCTATCCGAACGAAAGGTACCAAGAAATTAATGAATTCATTTGTAGGAATATACTACACAGCAGTATATAATCATTGTTATATAGGACCCGTATTAGCTTCCATAAAAATCAATTAAAGAACGCGAATTCAAGGTTTTGAAGAAAGCTCTTTAATGCTTATCTTTAATTCAGAGGTGTTAGTGAATGGATCTACTGAGATGAAAAATAATTCTAGGACTCTCTGACATTGATATATTTACATGTAGCTATAGAATCAATCTGTGTGTGTTCTCACTCTTCCTGCTGTCTAACACTATATGTTTTACTATACTTACAGTTGATACCTTAAACCGTCGTTCCTCATGCTGAAGAATTCGCATAGCACCACGTACACCTGCAATCAACAAAAAATATCCTTATCAAATCTACACTCTTTTCCCTCGAATCTTAAAAAGTGCAACAAAAACACCGCATAATGATTGCTTTTCCCTCAGTTTTTTTTTATGAAACTCACAGAAATTTATCAAAGGTAATTACGTTTTGAAGGTCGTTAACGAATAGTTAAAAGCATTTGTTATCAAAGGTCATCGTTCATGCGTTTATTTTTTCCCAGCAACTATGAAATCACGGGAACAATTTAAAGATGTGCTCTCAAAACATGAGGGATGTTGTGTGGTAAACAAACCATAATGGATGTAGCATGATGTAGGGTTATATCAAACATTGGCAGTAAAGATATCATTTTAACATCTACGAAGGCGGAAAGTAATCGCAAAGGTGCAAACTAATATTTGTTCTATTTTTTAAAGTTTCGAGAATATATTGATAATATTTATCTATATTCTGAGGACATGCTGCTTTTCATTTTAAAGAAATGATCTAATCAGATAAACGGAATACACCTATGTGTAATCGGAACATTAAGAAAAGTCAAATACTTATGTTAAATATTTATAAATTAGTTTTCAACAGGTAGAGTTATGTTAATGAGATACAGTTCCCGAACTATATTTAGAACATTCTGCATTTCTTTTTTTAAGATAAAAACTAACCAAATGGATAGAATAGACTTATGTGTAATCACAACGTTAAGAAAAGTCAAATACTTACGCTATATAATTATTACTTAATTTTTAAAATGTAAGGTTATATGAAGGAGATACACAGTTCCCGGAATTTTATATGATGTCCTATTAGACTAATGTAATGTATCCGTTCGACGATATAAACTCAACTAACCACATAACCCAATACTAATCTTTTATATAGTCCTACACTCTTAACAGTAGCACGATTATGTGGCTTATCACCTGTAAAAGAATGCAAGAAGTTTGATAAGAAATTAAGATGAAATTACACATCCTGGATGGTTGTTGTGTAAACCCGTTTCTCAGGTAAAAACTACAGGTAAGGTGTTCGCCCTTGGTGGCACGTAAACATGTAAAGATAAACATAAAACTCGCGTGATACTTCCAGGATAAGATCTCGATATCTCGATTTCGGCTTCGCCTTGATCCATATTGCTTTCTATATTAATTATTGTTAGATATCAGTAATTTAATTTATGCGACCATGTGCTAAGCACTGTAAAACAGATAAACCTGGCCCTTTCTGTGGGGTTAGAGTAAAAACGTTGTGCTTGATTTGCTTATCAAAATAACAATATATTAAGTTTATATTTTGAAAAGTGTGGTAACATTCCCATACATTTCCATTCATATTTTTCAAGTTAGCAAAATAATGACATAAAAAAATTCAATATCAGCGTATTAGTATTTTTTGCTCTCATTGATAGTGCTTTATCATATCATTAGTACCATAGAAATGTACACAGGTTTACTGCTAATTAAGATATCTAAAGAGTCGGTACCTTGTACCTGGAACGCTCCCACGTTTTAAATTATCAAGCTAATATACACATTATCACTTATACAAGGCAGGTAAACATACCAATCAAAAAGGGAGGTGTATTTATAAGAAAACTAATTTCCTGCTCAATATTTTAATGAATTTTTGAATGTTTTCCTTCCGTTATCGTTTAACTCAACATACATAATACAATATAGATAAACTAGGTATTTCAACATGTAACACGCAGTTTCTTTAAAACCGTGTTTGAAGTCAATATTAACAAATCACATCCATTCAACCTCAATAGTTGTCGGATATTCGATGTTGGACAAGCTTGATAACAAAAAATTTTTTTTTTTTAAATGTTATGTAATATAGAAAGAAGAAAACACTTAAAGAAACTTACATCGCCATTGATCAAATATCGTTTCTGAAGGATACAAAACATGAACATTTATTGTTAAAACAATCAGATATAATAATACAAATTGTAAAATAAAAGAAATCATAAAACTGACAAAGCTTGAAAAACCATGCACTGACACCCCCAAAATGTGACCTCTACACCCACAGATACAGGGTCGATCTGTTTGCTGCTGTCGAATTAAAAAAACATAACGATGACCATATCAATAAGGCTCTGATATGTTCCTTCCACTTTGACGTTGCCATTTGATCAGTATAACGGTTTTACACCACCAGAGTACACACACGTAAGGCCCTAGTATAACAGTCCTGATATAGAACCAGTCGGTTAAGGAGTGACTTTGTTAATGAGAAAGTTCTATAACGTCATCCTCAAATCTCTAATCTGAATCAAGATGGCGTTTATTTTAGGTTTTTGTTGCCTTACAATTGAACATTTACGTTTAATGCATTGTGATAGGCAATTATTTATTTTCAAAAGTGGAAATTATAAAGTTCAACAAAAAAAAACTCACCTTAGTTTCTGGAATATCTAATGCTCCCAACAACATGCTGGGAATGTTTCACATCAGAATAGAAAGATGTTGAACTTCATTTTGATCAGATAAAATGTAATGTTAAATGACAAATCAGATTCACCGAATAGTGTACATTCTTTTACTATTGACGTGATGGGAGGTTTTGATTTACTGTTGGAAAGTATTTGATATCAGGCTTACCTGTATTACTTGTGATGATGGGATACTTATATGATTGTGTCCACCCTGGCTGTAAAATATGGACAGGTAGGTATGTACCAGGTGTGGGCAATGATAGTTTATTGACGGAATAGCATGTTGTTGACACGCCTAATTATATACATGCTTGTTCCAGACAACACAATACATATATAAGCAACATGCTACATATCATATCATGTTCCCATACCACTAGAAGGTCAATGAAAAAAAAAAAACTTCTTAAATTCCAACACTTATTTGACAAAAGGAAGGAAAACATAAAAACGATCGACAGAAAACCAATGTTCTGTACAATGAGAATAAGACAAGGTAGCCTGGAATGTCGTTCATCGATATGATTTTCTCATATAACCAATATCAGACGTGTTTGACAGTCACGTTTAACACCAATGCAGTATTACAGAAACTTTAATGTTTTTAATCGACCCTATTCTATATATGTCTACCGATTGCACGTGTGTTGCAGGGAATATCTACAACAAACAAAATAGAAAATGTCAAACTTTAATGTTTTTTCTCTGCATATTGTCCAAATCAGAAAACATTACAACACGTTTCGGTGCTAGAATAGAGGGTATGATCAGAATTACGTAAAAGTCTTGGATCCTTTTCTTAGACACTAAATGTTAACAAATTATTTTCTGTTGTGTTGTGCTTGGATGAGTATTTTCATTTTATACTACATTACAACAACACAGAGTCAATTTCTTTGTGTATATGTGTGTGTGTGTGTGGAAATATGCCAATAACTTACGTTATTTAACAACCACACATATATTATTGATTAATTGATTCTCTGTGTC